GACAACAGAAAAGTGGGTAAAGGGAAACAATGGACAGGGTAAGACATGAAAAAATAATAATTTATAAATTGTCAAGCATTTGTGAGGGAGGAAGAGGGGAAAATGAAGAGCTGATACCAAGGGCTCAAGTAGAAAGCAAATGTTTTGAGAATGACAAGGGCAACGAATGGACAAATGTGCTTGACACATGGATGGATATATGGATTGTGATGAGTTGTATAAACCCCCAATAAAATGATTTAAAAAAAAGAAAAGATGGTAACATCTGTACAAATATACTTGATAGAATTGACGTATGGGACATTATAAGAGCTGTAAGAGCCCCCAATAAAATGGTTAACATACAAAAAGGACTCTTTCTGGCTTCAGGACTTCTGCTGTAAATGGCAGCTCTCTGCAAACCCAGGGCTCAGACTTTGAGCTCTAATACAAGAAGTAAAGAGCAAATATGTCCCTTTGAGAACTAATGCGCGCCTGACCCGTGCTATGGTATGTTCAACCACGTCAGAGGCATGTGAAAGCTGGATGGTGCGTAAGGGAGACAGGAGGAGAATTAATGCACTGGACTGACATTCATTCAAGTGCATTGATTGCGTGGGTGGAAAACCTTGGAGAGAGCAAACCGGTCTGCCTTGAAGGACGTTAGAAGCAAGGACGGTAAGACTCCTTATCATGTACCTTGGGCGTGTCATCAGGAGGCACCAGTCCTGGAAGAAGACGTCATGTTCGTAAAGCCCCTGCCTGAGATGGACTGGCTGACACCGTGGCTGCAACACAGCACGGAGTGTCAGCTGCATCGTCTGAGCAGTGTTTTGTTCTGTTGTCCACAGGGTTGTGATGAGTCAGAATCTCACAGCAGCAACACGCCTCCAGGGAAAGTGAGCCCCAACCTCTTATTTGAATCCTAGAATAGCAGAACCACAGGGAACAGGCAAAACACGTCTCGCGTGATTTCCAAAATAGAGGTCAGCAAACACCTGTGCTGGCCTGTGATGAAGTTCCCACAAGTGAGAAGAGGACTGTATTCAAGTTTTTTGTTTTCTTCATTACTTCTTTTTTTAAACGTTTTATTGGCAGCTCATACAACTCTGATCACCATCCATCCATCCAGTGGATGCAAACAGGACACCCTGCTGCTTGCTGGCCCTGTTCTGCTTTTGCCTTGCTCTGAAGCACGTTTCCTTCCATCTTACCACCCTCCTAGCAAACTGGCTCCTATCCAAAGAAACCACTTTTCAAAATCCAGCTTCTAGCGCATTCCCAAACACCCCAGCCTCAGCAACACTGACACCAGTTTTCACATCCCAGCACTATGTGAGGGGGTAACCCCACATAATGGAAAAAAGCTCCACTGGGCAGAACTTTCGTAGCATGCACTTTTCCCGCTAGGTGAACATCAAACAATTCACTCTGAATTAGTGCACCCAGTGTGTCGCCTGGGAAGGTTCTCTCTGGTCACAGTGAATTTTTCATAAAAACAGTTTCACTGAAACCTAGTTTTTTTGTGATGACTGATTTAAGAGAACAGCTTGCGGCTGTGAAATTTGTTTCCTGCTTGGGAAAAATGCCGCAGAAACTGTTGTGATGTTGAACACAGCTTACAAGGACAGTGCTATCAGAAAAACAAGTGTCTGTAAAAGTGGTTTTCCCATTTCAAAAATGGTGAAATGTCCATTGATGACAAACCTTGTTCTGGACATCGGTCAACTTCCCAAACGGACAAAAATATCGACTCATAGTGCATTTGGAGTTCGTTCCACCAGGTCAAACTGCTTTCTATTTAGAGGTTCTGAAAAGCTAGCGTGTTCATGACAAAAAAGACCTGATTTGTGGCAGACAGGACCGGCTTTGCCAACATGACAAGGCACCTGCTCATGCAGCCATCTCAGTGTGCCAGTTTTTAGCAAAAAACAGCATGCCTCTCTTGCTCCACACACCTTACTCACCTGACCTCGTTCCGTGTGACTTCTTTTTGTTTCCGTGGATGAAGAGGGGCATGAAAGGACAGTGAAGAGGTGAAGAGAAGAGAGGGAGCTGCTGCCAACCATCCAAACAGAGGAGTTTAAAAAATGTTTCCAAGAATGGAATCGCAGGTTTGAGAAATGTATTAAGTGTAATAGAGAGTACTTCGAAGGTGATAAGTTTGTTTTATAAGAAAATGTAAATACGTAGCGTTGAAACCTACACAGGCTCTCTTCCATGTCTCACACTTGGACTGTGGATCCTGAGACTGCTTCAAACGCATCGTGGTAGATGTTATTCTCCATCGTGATGATTTGTGTGTCTCCGTGTCCACGCCTGGATTACGAATCCTTGAAGAGCAGTCATTTTGCCCTGTTCCCTTCTAGTTCCTGGCACCCCCCTATCACCTCAGGCACTTCACTCCACATGGGATTAATGAATACCGTAACACGCTGTTTGCACAAGGAATACTTTAACAGTTAAAAAAAATACAGACACTGCATTGTGTTCCCTCTTAGTTTGCAAATGACGGTCAGGAGCCTGAGTACTAGGCCTGGGTGAGAATGACCAGGAGGCAGCCTGGGAGAGCAACGCACGCCGGGGGCTCTGGTCGCCATTAACTGTAAACGGGGAGGGGAGAAAATGACAAGAAGTGGAGGCAAGAGGAAGAAGCGATAAAGCAGCCTCAGGTGCGGGCAGCAGTTCTCCACAGCAAGCCTGCGCCCGTCTCAGGCCAGGGAGCACCCTGTCATCCAGTAGGAGAGGGGCCGTCCGGAACAGTGCAGCTTCCAGTTTATCCTGCAGAGAAACACAGAGATGCGGTTCTTGTTTGCCTTTTAGTAGCTGCATCTCCACACACCTGGCCTCGCTCCGCCAAGCAGAGAGACACCCAGAATTCCCTCC